TCTGGCACGAGTGACAGTAGTTTTTATATGTCTGGTTTGTTGCCTGTATAGAAATTATGATTTTAGACACCAACATCATATATGTAGCTTATTTAGTTCCAATTATATGCACATTTTAGATAAATTTGGCGGCCATTTTGAAAAATGGCCGCCATTTGTATACCAGGTGAAAAATCAAGTGTCAACAGGGCTTAGGGTGACCAAGACGGATTAATTAGGATATCTGGCTATATTGACTGCTTCTAACATTCCACTCCCCCTAACTTGATTTCTAGGCCTCTTTTTAAATTTTTTCCCTAGTCTAAGTGGGGTGGGTAGGAATACTTTGAGCTGGAAGATGGGGAAAATTCACCTTGTATAATAAAATAATGAATATTAAACTCAGAATGTGGTCATACATGGCTTGTTTGTCTACCTAACCTTCAGATACTGAGTAAACTTTACCTCCATGTGAAGAATGGCCCCATTATAGCGTTCATAGTGTTTACACATTTCAATGAGTACAGTTTACATATTTTCCTTATATTTGATCTAGATTGCAACCTGCCAGATCTGCCCCGCCAGCTCCCTTGGGAGGTAAGTGTTGAGGACTGTAGGCTAAATTATATACACCAGATTAAAGATATACAGTACCTTATGGTAAATTATTAAATTTAACACCCACAATTTCAATAAATAAATCGCTAATTTTCAAGTAATAGCTGGTCCCAGGGATTTTTTTTTTTGTGTTTCATTTTATTCAATTGTTTTGAAGTAATCAAAGTGAAATAACAGTGATTTTAGAAGAAGAAAGATTTTCAGACATTTATATCCTTAAATGATTTGCCAGCCAACTTCAAGATTTATCTATGCCAGAGAATAGACAAGATGAATATTTATATCTGCTAATTTATGAGGATTTTATTTCCAATTTTCAATTAAAAGCTAGTTTAAACTTTGCATTTCACCAATAAATGTTTATTGCTTCTTGTAAACTATGAAAAATTACCTTGCAAATTAATACAAAACAAATAACATTGCTCACTTTGAATAAATAAATTTAATATTTTTAGAGCTTTACCTGTCAAAATGTAGTGTTAATGTGAATACCCTTTGTGATGATGTTTGGTTGTAGGTCCAGTGAGAAGTGCTCCTTCTAGGCCACCTGGGGATGTTGCAAGGAGTAGGCCCAGGCCATCTTCTACTGGCCCTGGTCCTCTTAAAACACAAGATAATACTAACACTTACGAAGGGTAAGTTTGCCTAATTCTTTGCACTTAGATTTGTTGGAAATTATGTTTGTGGAAATTAATTTAGACTGATTACTAAATTGCCCAATGGAATCTATTGAATATTAGAAATAAAACTTGATTTTTGCTATTATTTTACATTTTTATTATAATATAATATTACCAATATGTTTTTAATTATATTTTCAATTATTTTTGATGTAAATAATACTAACATTATCTGTAAATTATTGAAAAGAGATCTGATCTGTGAGACTTATTGCAACTCCATAATCTATACCTCTGTCCAGGTCTGCCCATATACAGTCTCTATGTACATATATGGTCATGATGTGATGCCATCATGAACCATATTTAGGCGTGTCACATGTTTTTGTCAATAACAATTAATAGTCTGTACAGAGCTTTTAAAAGAGTAATTCAACGTTTTTTTTTTCAAGCTGAGGTGTATTCTTGATTTTTTGGGTGGCAGGTTAACAATTAAATAAGCAGTGAGCACCATATTTTTTAAGTTTGCTTTTTTTCTTTTTTTTTTAGTCGGCCACAGATAACCATTATCTCCGCTCGACCTATGAGTGAGGTCAATTTTAGTGGTACTAAGTTACCTGATCCAAGCGTCAGTCCAGTAGATAGGAATGGTAAGTTTTTGCATTCAGACTATTGTTAGTGAGGAAAAGCTAAAGTCAAGCACTCACTGAGCATGGCGGTCGTCAGCCGACACGTTTCTATGAAGAATGCAATGCGACGAAGTGCGCCCAACAAATGACGATCTGTTCAGACAGCCACTGACAATCAGCAGATGGTGTCGCGTCGTCTATCACTCACTGAGTTGGATTAGTCCTGCGGCGGTCGCACAAACGTCATACGACGCAATGATTGCCCGGCTTAATTTATACTCATAAAAATCAACTTGGGGAAAACTCTGAATGTCTTGCAGTTATGTAGAAACTTGTAATCCAATTCGTTTTTACGTACACAAATAGAAGTTTTCTCAATTTTTATTAGCAAAGGAGCAGGTTAATTTCTTGAACTGGAATTCTGGATAATTGAACAAAAAGAATAAAAAGAACAAAAAAAAAAAAAAGCCACACATCTTTGAAATAACATAGAGTAGTTGTAGATATGTTTCAGATTGACAAAAACCCACCACCAGTACAGAGCAGAAAAAAAGGAAAATGTTCATAAAATTTTTTGAAAGAGGTAATAGTACTGAAAAATGAATGATTTTCTAATTTGAAATTTTTGTGCCCTATTTCTTTTTTGTCACATTTATTTTGTAATTATTTCTATTGTTATCATTATTGTAATACTGTTATCATTATAATTAGAATTACTTTGGGTTGTATTTAGTATTCCATATATCATTTTCTTATTTTTTTCATAATTCCTATTTTTTGTTCATTGTGGTGTGCAAAATACATGACATTCAATCCCAGGGGCCTAGGAAACTTAGATTTATTTATTGTATCTTGTGTGTATGTTCGTTATATCCTTATATTTATCTGTATATCATTGAGTGACTGATACACATTGTATATCACAGGTTCAATACCAAGCAATGCAAATGGATTGCCAGCAAACAAGAATGCTCCATCTATTCCGATGAACCGACCAAAGGAAAATTATGTTCCACCACCACTACCAACATCAAGACCAAAGGTTGCATATACTCCACCAAGTCGGACAAATTCTATACGTAGCTCATCGGTTTCATCACAGAGTTCTTCATCGCAAGCAGTATCCCCAACAGAGCAGATGTCCCAAGAACAGTCTAACAATGGTAGTGTTTCAGTTGGCAGCGAATTACTAACTGCAAATAAATCTGAACCACCAAAACGGCCAACGTCTGGGCCACATTTTCCAAACCCTTCACCATCACCTAGTTCTGCAGCAAACTCACCGGCAGAGGTGAGCAGTAGTGAAAATCTTAACCCAACTCCGAGGCCAAGAATTAGGTCCATCTCAGAAAAAAGCCAGTCTGGTAAAGAAGCAACACCAGATGATGTATCTTCCATCAAAAAGTCAGAGGACAGTACTGAAGATAATCCTCCATCTGCACCACCTCCACTTCCAACAAATAGACCATCCAGAAAGTACACTGTTGTACGGCCAACAAGTATCGAAGCAACAAAAGCTTCTGAAAAAGCTGATAATGTTAACAGTAATAGTTCAAAAGATACTACAAGTAACAAAAGTGAAAGTACACCAATACCAAATGAAAGGCAAACTGCAGTTGGGGAACTTGGGAAAGCTCTTGAAGCTAATCAAAAGCCAGTTCCTCCTCATACTGCTGTCAAACCACCCAAACCAGCTACTAAGCCTGACAAGCAACCTAAGCCTACACCTAAACCAACAGCTAGTGTAGCATTTCCACCCCCACCATCAAGCCCAAAGTCTGAGCATAAATTCAACAGCCCCTTGGCAAGACCAAGGCCTAGAGTCACAAGCACAAACTCTGAAGAATCATCGGAAGTTACTGAAAGCTACAAAGATTCAAATTCCTCTGTCGTTGTACCAAGTGCAATATCTGTTACTGCTGCAATTAAGGGTCTCAACAGTAAAATTTCTGCAAAGACGAACAATTCTATCAAAAGCAGTACAAATAGGACAGTTTCACCAGTCAATACTGAACAGCCTAAGCCTGCACTCCCTGAAAACACATCACACTCTAAAAATCCATTTTCTTTGGCAAAACCAACATTAAATAGAGCTTCCCCATCTTCTGAAATATCTACTTCTGCTGATAAAGGAAGCTGCACTCGAGTGGCACAACCAGTACCAACTCCCAGAGGAATGCAAAATGCAGTGACGATTGATGCCAACACAATATCAACAGCTTCTAAGGGTTTGTCAGCATTTTCATCAACAATGTCAGGCTTTGAAAACCAACCAAAGCCACAAGGCCAGAGTAGCAGGCCACCTCCACCTAAATGGAATGGGCAGGTTCCAGATGCAGCTACTCTGTCTTTAGCTGCATCAGGTATGTCAGCGATGTCCTCAGTTGCTGCATCAGCTTCAAAATTCCAGTCCAATATTGACAGGCCGCAACCTTCCACCTATAAAACTTCTGTATCTCAACCTACTCCATCAATCCCTGATGCAGCAACCATCTCTGCCGCTGCCAAAGGACTTTCGTTTTTGTCGTCAGTTTCTTCCTCGCAATCAAGACCAGTTCCTACAGCAAGAGCACCCTCTTTATCTCAAAACACTAACAAAACCTCTGTATCTCAACCTACTCCATCGATCCCTGATGCAGCAACCATCTCTGCAGCTGCCAAAGGACTTTCGTTTTTTTCGTCAGTTTCTTCTTCGCAACCAAGACCAGTTCCTACAGCAAGAGTGTCCTCGTCGTCTCAAAATACGATGTCAACATCAATGTCTTTAAATTCAATTAATCAAAAACCTCTAATACCTCAAAAAACTGCTCAGTTTAATGTGCCGAGTCAAAGCGCCATGAAAGATATAGCAAGTATGTTTGATCCAATAGCTACTACCACAAAGCCACAGCAGGAGAAAACACCAGCATCTCGTAATTCTGACTTACTTCTGGCACTAGGCGGCGGTAAAATGAGTACACCGACTCGTAAAGCACCTTCTATTCCCAAGTCAAAGCCAAAGGTGAGCCCTACGCCCACCCGTAAGCAAACAAGTACTCCGCCTGTTAATCAGACCTCTAACACCAACACCTCATTATTACAACCAAAAGCGGCAGTACGACCTACAATTATACGACCGTCAGCTAAACCATCAAACAAGAAAAAAGCTCCCCCTAGGGTAAGTAACTTAACTAATTTAGACAGATTAAGGAAAATATTATAGAGTATAACTGTCAGCCATAAGTGTCTTTTTTAATATCATTGTTTTATTATTGTTTTATATTTTTCTTGTACAAATATTTTTTTCGTGCACTGGTGTGCATATCTATTGTATGACCTGCTATCATGCAGACTCGCTGCAGATGACAATAAAAATTCACCACAAAGAGTGCTAGACAGTGATCTCAAAGCTGCCCATGTTTGCATAAGCCACTTTGGTAAAGCTCGACTATCAAATTTTACTTGACAAAACCGGTGACATGCCTAAATATGGTCGTGAGTGGATTTTCCGTACGATTAAATTCGTAACGGTACTGGGTTTGGTCTACAGGAGTTCATGCTTCGAACAGGTCATTCCATTCATAGAAGAAGCCTTTTGATGGAGAAAGTGTACCTTTTTAGCAAAGGTTTAGGTCGAAATAAAATGTGATAGCCGAAACAGAGGCTCTATATGTTACAACACACCAGCATATTTATCAAGAATGTACTGACAAGTTTTTTTCTGTTTGTACTCTCAGCCCTCTACTGGTCCAAATCTTAAGACCATGAAAGCAAAAGCAGCTCCAAGGCAGCCAATGCAGGCTAGTGCAATGAAAAATTCAAAGAAACCTAATGCGAAGACAAAGAGGCCAGCACCTGCACGACCAGGCCCACCACCACCAGCAGGTGAGAAGAGCAGGTGTACAGGAATGTAGTTATTGTGGGCGGGGACAAACGTTTTCTACCTAGTCTAGAAAGCTAATTTCATGGGCCTCTACCCACCTTTATTAACCCCACTTGCCCTTCCATGAAATCCACTCTTATTTTTTATTTGAAGTGTACTAATATTGTCACCCATCAATGTCTACAGAAACCAAAAGGTCCACTGATTAATCTCAGATAAGATAGTATAATACATACTTCAAGTATCGAAATGCATGCCATCGTGTCGGGATTGAATGAATAATGATGACATAATTAATGTCGAAATATTGAATGTCAACAGCCATAATTAGTTTTCTACAACTACAAATCTGGGTGTAATGTTGATACGTAAAAAAAATTATAGATAATCATAAACTGCTATGTTTTCTCAGGTAAAGTAAACTATGCGGTTGTGATTGTTAATTTAAACCTAAATTTCATCGTCCTATTTCAGACAGCCCTGTTTAGATTAAATTTGTATTCATGGCACTTAACTATTATCATCATGCAACATCGAATTCTTTTAAGGGTCTACCAAACCTTTGCGAAAAACATTCCCACCCCGTAGACACGCACACATCCTCAAATTTCTCCATATACATCACCTCTGCCAAACATTTTCTCATTTCTTCACATAAAAGCTTGTTAACAATATCAAAGTTTCTGTGACACATTTGTGTGATTTGATGTGCATATACATGTGCATGATGATCTCGTATTACAACCAAATATGGGCATATCACAGTTACTTATCGCATAACATAGTTTGGACAGAACTTTAATTCCCACTTTCTACTCATATACATATGCTTTTTCCAATACATATCCCCATAGAAATGCAGTATATTTGCCTGGTTATAACATATGCATTCTTGGTTTTTTTTTTTTTCAGTAGTAAGTGGCTTACCTCCAAGGCCGGGACCTGGCCATCCTTTATTCAAGTATACAGTAAGTGACTGAGTGTGCCATCAACACTGTTCTGATCTGAGGGCAAGCCTAGATATAAATTAATGTACACCTGCCAACTCTCAGGCGTAATGCACGAGTCTCATGCATGACCATTACTTTTTACATCTCGCATCTACATTTTGTTACTTCAAGCATCATAAAAATGTTTATATAAAAGATAAATCGGAGAAGCCGATTATACCCAAAAATTCATAAAAATGAATTGAATTCATCATTAAAATGTGAATTCAGGCAATATTTTAATGAAGTTATACCGTCTGAGGACTGTTACAATCACTTGAATTTTTAATTAAATAACATAGAGGGCACACTTTTTTGTGATTATTACATAGAGGGTCCTACAGTTTATATAAAATTTTAATTTTTTTTTGTGTATTGTAAATTAGGCACCAACTGCCGCCCCCCCCAACTTTGAATCCGCCTATGCTATTTGAATACTGCATGCCTGAAGAGTTCCAATTTAAAATTTATTATCTGCTATGCAGAAATACATTTTTTATGAAGCTAAATCACTTTTTTTCTGTCCTTTCCCCTGTCCCCTCTATACATCCTAGGTTGAAAAGCCACATAGTATTGCACAGTTCTCCTTCCAAGCAACGAACAGTGATGAACTCTCATTTGAGGTATGCTGAAACAAACCTTTATTATTTTTGTAACCATTACAGAGTGATATGTGGTAGAAATAGTTCAACATGAGATTAATCCTCTACCTAAATGAACCATCCACAGTACAAATCATCCAGCTTTCGGGAAAAATAGTCCACTGGAGTGAATCGTCCATCATGTAATTAAGAGTCCACTTGAATGAATTATCCATGGTACAAATTATCTAACTTATGGGGTTGAGGGTCGACTTAAATGAATCATCCATGGTACAGATCGTCCAGCTTATGGGGTTAATAGGCCAATTGAATGAATTATTTATGGTACAAATTGTCCAGCATATGGGATGATAGTCCACCTGAATGAATCATCTGTGGTGCAAATTGTCCAGCATAGAGGATTATCTATGGTACAAATTCTCCAAATTATGGGAATAAAGGGCTGCTTGAATGAATCATCATAGTACAAATCATCCAGCCTAAGGGATTAATGTGCTGCATGAATTAATTATCCATAGTACAAAATCGTCCAACTTAATTTCTACAATACTATTTGTCTGACACATTTTGTCGGATTTGCTCAGTGTATTTTTATTATTTTCTTTTTTATAGGAAAATGATGTAATTATTTTATTGAGGGAAGTGAATGCTGATTGGTTTTGTGGGCGCAATAAAGACAAAGAAGGAATATTTCCTAAGAATTTTGTCAGAGTCATCAAACCGTTATCGAGTGAGGAGAAAGAGAAAGAGAAGGAGATTGAGGTGAGAATCTGCATTAATCTCATGATTGCTAAAATTAATTAGCCAAATATATAGTCAGATTTTGTATTTGAATGTTAAATAATGTTACATGTATTTGTATAGTGCCTTATTCATGTGGTTACAAATCGCATTGATGAACTTTCTACTGCCAGAGGTTATTTCAAGCACATGTGGGGCTGGACCAGAATATCAGGGTAATGCCCTACTCTTCTCAAAGAATGTCCTGTGCTCTTTAAAAGTGTACACATTATAATTTGCATATAGATCTCGAAAGGGCACCATTGCTGGTGACCTTCTCACAGTTCCTCACCTTCTGTGCATGTCATGTCTTAAAGTAAGGATCCGGAGGGGAAAAAAATGATACATTGTACCACTGATTTTTCTCAGACATGAAAAGCATATTTGACAGAAAGGTGAAAAAAATGGTGGTTTCGCCCCTTTTCTCCAATTTTTTAAATATACGAAAATCTGTACCTCATTTACCTTTCCAGAGTTTTGCCTAAAAATATGATTTTCATGTCTTAAAAAAATCAGATGTACAGCATATTACATTTTCTTTTTTCAATAAAGTTTTTTTTATTGAAATCTCAGGTTCTACCACTTTACCTAAGAATGAATTGAATGTTTTCTGTTTTCACGTAGGAAATCTCTGGGCCGTGTGCAGTAGCCCTGCATGCCTACCAATCAGATGCTGCAGATGATCTCTGCTTTGATGCAGGTGACAACATCCAACTACTGGAGAGGATGAATGACCAATGGTATAAGGGAGAGTGCAATGGAAACACAGGGATGTTTCCAAAGAATTTTGTTGAAGTTATTGTAAGTTACTGTAGGATTTTTGTTTAATAATTTTAATGTTTTTTTTTAAAGTACATTCATCATTATTTAGATTTAAACTTAATGTATTTTTTTAGTTTTTAGATACTTATCTCAATTTAAAAAAAACATATATATTATATACATATAATATTTTTTATTATTTTTTTTTTTCCCCTCTCATTATAGGAAGACATTCCAGAAAGTGTACAAATTAAAGTTGATTCACCAGTAAGGTAAATATATGTCTTTAAATTTTCTGTCAAAGTTTCCGTCAAATGTAGTTAATATTGTGACAATGTCTTTTACAGGCATTAAATACTTTCATTTAAGTATAATATAAAAATAGATCAAAGTCCTGTGAAAATTAGTATACTTCTGAGCTTCCTCGTTGTAGTGCATGCATTTTAATACTAATATTCGATGCAATTGTTTGTTTACTTGGTTCCAAACCTCTGAATTTTGTGGTTGGGCTCATTCTAAGGCAGAGCACTTTACATTATAATTACTCAAAAGTTAAAGGGCAGGCTTATACTTGGATGGGATGGCCAATGAATAATACTATGCAAATTATTGCGGGCTTATACTTGGGAGGGAATGGCCAATGAATAACAGTATGCAGATTTGGATCCTACTCAATCACTTTTCCAACTTCATGTCCTTAGTTCTGGTAGTGGACCAAGATGTAAAGCCCGCTTTGATTATGAGAGTGATGAACCCTCTGACCTAACATTTGAAGAGGGCACCCTAATCAAACTCGTTGCACGAGTCGGAGATGAATGGCTGAAGGGTGAACTGAATGGTCGTGCTGGAATCTTCCCTCAAGCATATGTTGAAATTATTGAAGATTTGGCTGGGGGACCAGATAACGATGATGGTGAGAAAATTATTTCTAATGTTCAGTATTTATTTATTTGAAATCATAAATAATATTAAAATACTGATGTGTAAACAATTTTCTTTTTAGGTATTGTTATGGCCCTGTTTGATTTTGATGGTGCTGATAGCTCAGAGCTTAGCTTTAAAGTAAGTGTGTTGTATTTTGGTCTTTATCCTTTGCTCTTGCTCATGAATTCTCCAGGATTGCCCTTAAGTCTCCAGGAATTTTAGTTCATCTCCCGGTCTACAGAATACTCCACATATAATTAAAATAACAATAAATAGAATTTCTTCCATAGATTTCTCCAGGGTTTAAAACAAATTTTCACAATAAGGGCCTAGGCTAAGCCAAGTTTTCCCATACAAACAGTAATGCAGACATAAGATTTATCATTCTTGGCAGCAGATAACATACGGTGACCTGATCTTGCGCCAGCCTCTTTGCTATCTTATTAAACCTTGGCGGTAAGTTTGTGTACAATCGCACATGTTTTAGCTAGTACAGTACTTGCATTGCAAACCTTTGTCAGACCTGCGCAAGAGATTCTCCAGGAATTTGACTTCCACAACTGGGGAACCTTGCCAATGGCAGGAGGTGCTTAAGTTGGAATGGAATTGGTAGTGCTGAATCACACACACACACACTTGGAATACTTCTTAGGGACAGGAGGAAGTGACATGTATAATTCTGATTCCAAAGTACTGTGACTATTTCCTCTGAAATGGATAGTGTATGTGCAATGAAAACAGCTTAGTTCAGTTAGCTAAATCGGTGAAAGCCACCGTGTGCACTCCCTGTACTTTAGCTGGATTGCTGAAGTTGTGGAAATTGTCTCCCGTTGTACTGCCCAATCATCACCAGACGGAGCCCACATCTTCATGGGTTATTCTTGGTGTTTAGACCGAATAGATCCATTCATCTATATATATATATCCTATAAAATAAAATAATATATATATATTTTTATTATAGATGGGTGATAAAATATTTGTAAAAAGTCGGATAAATAGTGAATGGCTTGTTGGAGAGCTTAACGGTAATGAAGGCAGCTTCCCAGCCAACTTTGTCGACAACATTCCGGCAAACCTTCCATCAGCAGCTAATTCACCCTGCAACATGCCTAGCGATGATGCAGCTCAGGTGAGATACTTGATTTTCCAGGCATCTTTTTGAGTCAATTGCTACAAGTAGCATTTCTAAGGGGTAGTGGGGTAGGATGGGGGATTGGTACTACGAATAATGATGGCGAGCTAACTTGAAGGAGATTATATTAGGTTATTTTTAATTATGTGAGTGTAATTTTTTTTTTTGCTCAGCATATTTTCAGTGTGGAGTGTGTTTAATAGGGCGCCTGGAAGTTGCAAACTTTCTCCGGGGATGTTTTGTGTTATATAATGCTTACAGTATATCCTTTTATGGTACTTCAGGTCAAAGGTCATTACATTTGTAGCATAGAAAGTTGTAATAGTATTTTAGCGATAACTTATCAAAGAGAAACTGTTTTCTTTCTTTCTTAAAAGCAAATATAATAATATATTAATATAATATGCAATATTTATTCATGTCATAAAAAATTTAAGACATTCTGTAATAGCACTCCACATGTGTTTAAAAAAAATTTTAATAAAACAATGATAAAAAAAAAAAAAAAATAATAATTTTCATTCAATCTATTTGTTTTATAGGGTACATGTACTGCTGTGTTTGACTTTGATGCAGGGGATGAGGACGAGTTGTCCATTAGAACGGGGGACACCATCACTATTGTGGAAGCTGTGGGTGATGACTGGTTGAGGGGGAGGCTCAATGGAAAAGAGGGTATATTCCCAAGAAACTTTGTCGAAATGCAAGAAGGTACCTTGATAATCTTAATACTATGTATGTAAAATATAATAACCCGTCTTAATTGAACTTGATCATTGATCGAGTTCCTAGCCCATATATCAAGCGCCCTGAGCATGTTAGATGGATTTGGCGCTATGTAAAACTACACTATTATTGTTATTAATTGTAAGTTGAAAACTTGCGTATTTGACTTTCGAGTATTTCAATTTTTATTGAATAATCAAAGGGTTTTCATGAATTGGACTCAGTCTTTTTATCAGTGATGTAGTTATGGTGGGGCGGGGCCACCCAGCTTTGAAGTTTTCCACCCAGTCTAAAAGCTAATTTCATGGCCCTCCATCCACCCTTATTAACTCACTTTTCCATCCTTAAAATCCACTCTTATTATTTACAGTTTACCAATGTTATCACCCACCCACCCATAAAATGTCTATCACTTACCCATAGTTTTCTACAGCTATAACCCTGATGCTCCGATTTTTGGCATTCCAGTCTAAACATAAACAGAGAGAGGTACGAGACAAGAAAAAAAAAAAAGATTTACGCTGGTATAAAGGTTATTGATGGTGTGATTACTGTATTTGCAGGGGGTTCTGGCGCAAAGATGACTGTGAAAGCATTGTTTGATTTCCCTGCCAAAATGCATGATGACCTTGGCTTTAAGGTAGGTCAACTGAAATTAAGATTATTAGTAGACATTGCACTTTAAAAAGGAAATGTATGTATAAAGAAATGTAACCTGCCACTTCATCTCTCTCCACACTATTTTCCTGTATAAGCTTGCGATATAACATTATCATGCCCATATATGGGTGTAATAGCATATCACCATGCTCATATATGGATACATCAGATATTTGTCATATAAAATTTGGCAGTCTGAACAGACTATCAAATTGTATTTGACAAAAACATGTGACATAACCTAAATATGGTCATGATGACATCACATCATGACCATATATAGGCACATCATGACTATATATGGGTGTACAACAGTTTTTTGTCAAAGAAAACTGAGAGTGTAGTCAGAGAGCTTTACAGGTTGAAATAATATATGATGCTCTATGAACTTAATTTTAATATAAGCTTAAGATTTATTAAGGAGTGATGTTTACCATGGCATTTGTATATCTAATTATATCCATCCAATTATCTGACAGACTTTCATTTATCCACCTTTGTATTATTGGTTTGAAAATGTGTTTAATTATTAACTAAACAATTATTTTCAAATTTTTTACTTTATTGACCAGGTCAATGACATCATTACTGATGTAGTCAGCGTTTCAGACGACTGGTACGAGGGCAGTCTAAATGGAAAGGTTGGCCGATTTCCATCAAACTTTGTGGAAGTTATTTCTTCTTGATATTCCACACTGCGATATACATATATAATTTCACACTTAATTTATGTTGTAAATGATATACTTACAGTGTTTCTGACTTCACCTCTGATTTGCATATTTTTAATAATGTACATTTGCGTGATGTGTTGCAATCAGTGTCGTATCAACGATTATTGACATGGCACGGATGTAGGAGAAGGTACGATGTGACATCGATGGGGAGCTATCTGGGTAAAGATGAAATTAGGTAATGTTTTAACTACATTAAATTAGTGCAGCACCCCTTAAATATGCCACTGGTTGAAATTAATTTTAATAGGAAGTGTAAATGTGGCATTATCATCCTACATACAGTACCTCTGTCTACACTGTCATATGTGATATTTATGTGACAAATTTTTTTAATGTGCCCATATATGTGCATTATGATGTCATATTGCACCCAAATATGGGCATATCACATTTATTTTTCACATAAAATTTGGTAGAGTGTGGACGTAGATTTAGATTTGGGATGTTTACATTTTTAACAGCCATAAAAGGATTCTGTTTTTACAATATATCCGTAAAAGCATTCTGTGTTTACAAACTATCCAGCACCTTTTAGGTGATCTTGAGGGAATGCTGCAGCCACACCAAATCATGTCAATGGCCCAAGATAGCAACTGGAGAAAACTTGTGGTCGCCTGCTCCGCAGCCGACTGATGATGATGATGATGATGATGATGATGATGATGATGATGATGATAATGAAAAGATGAATGCTCACCTTGTATGAATATTCATATTGTGAGTCACCTCAGCCAGTCATTATTTGCATAACTTAGGATGCTGTCGTTTTAACAGTCATTGATGGATTAAAAATTAACCAGGCTTTGAGCTCATGAGAAATTTATAGCTATTTGCAATACTCTACATACCAATTGATGTCTGTGTGTTTCTATAAGGTGCCTATATGTATCCCTATTGTGTTTGCATTTCTACTAATTTTAGGGGTCACAACGTTTCACTGTGAAAAGGGAAAGTTATAGACTAAAAAAAGATATTTAATAAATTATACAGTACATGATTTCATGTAACCACATTTTTTTTTTCTATTGTTTTTGATTCACATTTGTAGCTAGTGGTTTAAAATGTTAACCAGTATTACGGTAAAATACTGTATATTTCTACTAGGAATAACTACTTCTGTAAACCCCTGTTCAGATGATAAAATTTTATTGGACAACAAAAGCATGTGACATGCTTAAATATGGTCATGATGACATCACATCATGACCATATATAGACACATAATGACTGTATATGGGCATACAACAGTTTTTTGTCAAAGACAACTTTATAATATTGACAGAGCTTATCCAAATGTTGGTTATGATTTTTGTTCTGCAAGAATGGGTAGTAAAGGTGGAGTAACAGGCTGACAAACTAGGCTTACTGTAGGCCTAGTTTTATTATAATTTCATGAAAATCTATTTATTATAATTTCATGAAAATCTATTTATTATAATTTTATGAAAATGTATTATTAATTTTAAAATGTATTAGAAATGATATAGTACTATTTATATTATGTATTTATCCATAATGCAGTCATTAAAAATTGGAAGGGATAATATTGCTTAGTAAGTAAATTTTTGGGGTGGGGGTAGGGAGAGGAAGGGAGAAGGAATGGTTGTGGCACTTACCGTGATAAAATTCATCATTGGTGCTTGATTTTTGTACTTTATATTCTTTATTATATATTTCTTATTTGTCTGAATTCTTTCTCTACCTAATAGCTCTGAGAAAAAAAAAACATGCCACTCATCTGCAGTTGTATAGAGTACCACAGTCGTGTCGTCACGACGCCAGGTGGCGCTCTCTGATGGTTACCGTTCATTACGCCTGAATGACTTCATAGGCTTTCTGGAATAGGCATTTTAAAATAATAAATAAAATAATTAAAATAATATTTTACCATCAAAATGTACTAAAAACACAAAAGCTCGCATTAAAGTTATCGAACACACATTTAATCATCAATTAAAATGCAACATCTTAATAATTACGTTGGAAATTGGGATCAATGGTTTGTCAGTGGCGAAAAGGGCGTCCGGTGGAACGTATTTTGCAACGATAACAACAGAGTAGTATCACATGGTATCGTGACGTAACACTGTAGTACTCTATACCGTAAAACATTGAATAGAAGTTAATCTTTTAATTTTTTTGAGAACCTTGGATGGGCTTTTTTCGAGGCTATTTTTGTATTAAAAGTAACAGGGGTGGGAGGGTGGCTTCTTTTCAAAATGAATGCTGTAAATTTTGGGAATTGCTATTATAAAACCATAAATTGGGGCACTGTAGCATCAATCTGTGTCATGGATTGAACCGACATTAAATCACCTAATCTACTGTATATGTAAACCAAGCATGTTTTTAATTTTTTTTTGTTTGTTTGAAATTTATGTACAGTGTATGTACTGTACTATCTGGAAAAGAAGCCCATGCTATTTTGAGATGGGCTTCTACTTGATGTTTTACGGTATGTGTACAATGTTTGTAGTAATACATTCTTGATTGTTTTTTAATGCCAAATGTGTCTTCAATTAAAAGTGCTTTTAATATTAATTTAATTTAGGCAACTTCAAATAAAAAATCAAATTAAACAATTTTTGTCATGTTTTTAAGATTTATCAAGTTGCAGGTTTTTAATGTGGATGTTCTGAGTAGTGGCCTTTTTTATCACTTAAATGAAATATATAGTATATAAATATTTTCCCACCTTTTATTTAGCTGTTTCTATAAAGACATTTAGTACAATTTATCAAAATAATATATACCCTATGTTCTCTATGTTTATATTATAAGATAAATTATCATCACTATCAGGTGACGTAACATTTGGTGGTATGATGTACCATGGAGGAGGTATAGTACTGAGATCTTGAACAAAGAGATACAAATCGAATAAGTAATTAAAAAACTGAAAATATTCCCTTAACTAGAGTAAAAACTATCCCCTGGTTGAAACCATCCTGGAAAATAGGTTTCAGGTTTAATTTTCATATGGACTGACACCATTTCAGTATTTTCAGGTCTGGAGTTCAGATCCAGAAAATATATGTTAAACCAGTGTGAAGACTGTATAGCTTCTGGTGTAATATAAAATATGTTCCTAATTGTAGAAATAGAGATATGTCCTCATGCTGTATATTGATCACAGCAGACAGTCAAACTGCGAATTTGTAGTAGAAATTGTTGCTACAATACCTTGGAATATGTTAAATTCTAAATCAGTACTTGGAAGAATTGGTACTTAAAATCTTTTTTGTTTATGCACTAGGGTCAGGGGTCGTTGAGACACCCTGACATGACTCATAGATAGGATAAAAAACAATGTTTTTTTCGGTCACAAGACATACTCGGAACAAATTGAAATACAAAGCTTGCCCAGTTTTTCTAGGTACTGTATCAGGGGATTGCTGGTCCCTGTCGGATATTTTTAGACCCCGTCAGAAGGCACCCGTCGGAGTGCACCCCCCACCCCCCTTGGTAAATCCTGGTACTGCCATATAGTTTTAGGGTTGATCACCGTATTTAATAGTGATCAATCCTTACCCTATTGATGTGCTGTTATACATCAAAGTGATCTATGCATGTTAAATATACAGTATACGAATCAAGAATCATGTACAGTACAAATATATATTGATGCTTCTAATGCGGGGAAAATGTAATATATTCGTAAATTTTCAAATCTATGTTTATCCTTAGAAAGAATATTTCATAATAGTGTAGTATATATGTTAGCATGAGTGTTATATAATTTTGTAAATCTTGATCTTTGTATATAATATTTAAATAGAATATTTTAGTCTGAATAAACTGCAGGTAATATTTAAATTGTCTTTACATTGTTTTCTTTTGTTGTTGTCAATATTGTTATAAAGTATTAAAGTATTTTTATTCAATAGCTGGGGGCACATGACTCCCCCATTTGAAAAGAAGCCAATTATTTTGTTATGGAACACTGCTTTGAAACAGTATTTTTGCAGCCTATGAACACTTTGGTGGACTTGTAACCTGTCATGGACTTGGGCCCTCGTGCAGCCATCCTGAGGCAAAACAACATGACTGACATTTTTGTCGATTTTGAGATAATACCACTTGGAAGTATATTGAACACTTCTGAATTACCTGTGAAAGTTTCAGGTCTTAACAATGAGTTGTTTCGGGGATAGCACCACCTGTCTTTAAGCACAATACTTAAAATTGAGTGATTTTCCGCAGTAAAACAACGGAACTGCAAGATTACGAGGCAAAACAACATATCTATGATGAAGATACGTATAATGGTATTCAACAATTTGTTTGAGCTGACGAGATTTGGCACAGCAAAATCAACTGGTGTTTTCATATCAATATTTTTAACGATGTATGCGCAAGCTAGAATAATGTATATGGTTGCCTCAAACGTGATAAATTCAAAATATATGTCGCACTTGCAACAATACCGAGCCTGACATGTTTCCGTGGTAAAACAATGTATCAGTGAATATCGTTTATAACTTTGCAATTAACCAACAGTTGTAATTAAAATTTTTATAGATATGAAGTAGTCCTGCAAAATAGGGTATGATAATTTATTGCCAAGTTGCAAACATGCAAATTTTAACTCTACTTTTCTCGAAAAGTGAAAATTTCAAGTTATGTTTTTCTGCCACGGAACGGCCGCGGTGAGGAATCACTGGTGCCGCGACTGTCATGCTCTATAATATACCGCCTGGCTCAAACTATATTGGCAACCATCAGCCAACTAATTTTTACCAGTCTATCTCTCATGCAACAACTTAGGCGAGTCAAATGGCCGAGACGTTATGAGACAGGTGCGCCGCAACATACAGCCATAATATCGGCGCTGGTTCGAACTGGACGCTCACCTATGGTTCTGGTGGTAGAACAAGACTTCTCAGTACATCATTCGCAACGAGTAGGGGGATACCCCGGTGTACTGGTACAGACAGCCCCTGTGGTGTATGATGACAGCTGCTGGTACTGGGTTACCAGGTAGCACAGACACGAAGGGACCCTTTCAGGGGCAAAGTCCACATATCAAGCGCCATAAGACACTTGATGTGAACATTAATAACAAAATAACACTGTATTATGTTTTTCGTGTTTATTTATTCATCAAGGAATTGGTGAGAACACTACAATAATGGCTAATTACAACCATAAAGCCATTACAAAAGATTTCATAATAAATATTATAAATAACACATATAGTCAATACTTTGGTGGTAATCCAAAATACAGGTTCTCAAACACAAATGTCTTCCATCAGCTTTATACAAAATGGAAGACTTCTTTTTTAATACAGAAAATCTTAATTTGGATACTAATTTAGGGTCTGTGCAATAATATAGTAGTGGTAATAATTTATGCATCTGTTAAATATTATATTATCTCATTCTAATTTTGGATTGAAAGGTAATTACTTAAATATATACTAAATATTTAATTTTAAACTGTAGGTAAATCAATATATAGCATTTTAGATACCAACATGTTATGAGCAACGCCAGAGCACTTCTTGGACCATTTACAGTAGTTCAATAAATAGGAGTCCAGACTGACTGAAGATAATTTGCTGGTAAATTTTTTAGAAGCAAAGTCACGCTGACGCATGTTTAAGTCCACGATTACGACTCGGTCTGCTTCAAATTGATTTGTTGCGAGCGCATCATGGCATTGTGTTCTTCATAGAATCGCGTTAGGTGCAGTGAGTGGCCTGCTTTCCAGTCCTATGGCGTTGCGACGACGCCCTCTTTGACCATACTTTATAGCGAGGGGCGTCGTATGTACGCCCTGTATAGCTTTCATGATAATTTTTTTTATAGCTATGCTGCCCCCTATAGGATTGTTTGAGAGTGATGTAGGAGTATTTCTGTAGAGGGCCTCCTGTATTCAGGCCAAATAAAATGCCTGCGCCCAGTAAAAACCCGACATTTAGTGTAGATGATGTAATTTCTCAGGTTTGAGAAACGTTTTTCATTAGCTAATTACTCTCAGAAGATTTATATCAAGTGATTGTAATACATTGCAAAATGCTTGCATCAAAAAAACCATGACAATTATATGTCGCCCTCTTGAGATACAGTATTGAAGTACATTGTCTTAACAGTTGAATAGACCGTGTAATGTAACTTGATCTACTTCTGAATATTTGCTCGTTTGTCAACAAAGAACTGAGAAGATAAAAAAAATTTGAATACTATTAGGGAAGAAATTGATAGCACAATAGTCAGATACTGTAAAAGTATTCCACACTTCAAAAGTTGTATAATTAAAGTACCAACTGTGTTTTTCAAATCCACATGGATCAAAAGAGTGGTACATCAGCAATGACCTTTGACATTGATTATCAAGAGCAATCATCCAAAGTGATCATAGGTGTGGTACATTAGCAGTGATCATCTATAACTTTCGAATAATTTCATTAGGTTTTTATATGTAGTCTGGTTGTAGTATTCATATGTTTAAACCAATTGAAAGTATACATACTGCTACGCTTCATTCTACTGCTGGCAGTGGGTCTTGTGTTAGCAAGACTATTCAGACTTCAATAGTGCCCTCTGCCAGCTGTTATCCTGTCAGGCGGTCTGGGGCTAGGATTGGGTCAAACATGTGCTAAACACCTAGCTCCCAGCTTCATAGTTGAATGAAACGTAGTAGTATGTATACTTTCAATTGGTTTAAACATCCGGAATACTTACAACCATAATCATTAATATCTGATCATAAAAAGGATGAAAACTTATTAGAAAAGGTTCAGCAGATAGCAACATGTATGATTTCAGAGGTTCAGCGTATTTCCTATACTAAAATAAAATAGTAAATTCAAGTGTACCCTTGATACGTATTGGGCTAACCATCCGCTCAAATATGCTCCTTATCAATGGATTTACTTGATTCTTGATTATCCATTTTAATTGATTCTTGATTATCCATTTTAATGTATTTACATTGTACTTATATCACTATTATTCAGTATCATTATTGTATTTAACAATTTTATTCTTTATAATATAAAAGTACCAATTTTTAATGTTCTCCTCTTTTAATGTTTTTTTAATTGCTCTGTAAAATTTTAACGTAAATATTACTGTAATTTGTAAATCTCCTGTAATTCAGCCTTTTGTCTGCTAGTTGAAGATCAATAAAGAATAAAGTGAATGAATAAAGTGGATTGACCTGATAGCATTAAGGGGCCTATTAGCATCGTTTTGCTAGGGTCTCAATTTCAAGGATAAAAATCCTGAAATTCAGTATATTCAGTAATACTGTAATCAATAACAATCATAAACAGTGATCTTTGACTGTGAACATCATACTATTAAGTAAGAGTGATCTAGAGTGAACTTCAGCACCCGTTTTCCTTTTCTTACTAACATTTGAGCAACTGTACAGTATGTTAAACCAAATTTCCAAAAGGATAATAAAGTGAACTATGAGCTATGAACTATAAGCAGACAATACTCAAAGCAGTTTATTTTTTTTTCTATTTCTGTCCTAAATATTTCAATAGTTTAACTTACTTTACTTGTAGCAGAAAATGCTGGGCCGAATCTATTAGCTGTCTGGAGGCGCTGCACGATCCATCCTGGGAGTTTACTCTGGATTGACTGTCGAGCATATCGATAGTCTACAAGCAAAATAGTCGCGTAGTCTCCCTTGTGCCGAATCGCACGACCTTAAAAAAATAAGAAGGAATGTATATTCATTATATCTATCAAATCCAAAAGCCTTTATTAATATGTACACTGTGTGTCAGCATATTTACAAACTGTTTCCATTTTTACAGGGTGCATCCAATAATAGAGTAATTTTTATTTTGAACTTTGACCCAATGCATTACAAAGCAAATTACATTATTTACAAAAGTTAATGTTGCGGGTAGTAGAGTACAAGTGATTATAATGGAATACTCAGGGTGTCGCTACAACACCCCATGCTTAGGGCGTACCCACTATTCCCTACAACCAGAAAGAGTTAATAGCTCAACAGAGAATGTTTATATACAACAGCTCATATAGACTTTTAACCATAAAAATATGAGTGTATTACCGATTGACTGGTTAACAGCTTTCATGCAAAGGTTTTCATAATGTACTTGACCAGGTCGGCGGCCATTAATGGCGGGCTAGAAAGAAAAGAAAAAAAAACTGAGTTAAAAAGTCTATTATCATGTTGTGTTTGTAGGCCTTGTAGTAGGCCTAGCAGTGCCTAGAATGTATAATAGTTCAGCCACTGATTATACATAAAAATATTATATTTTTGATACATATACATATTATGTGGGACTCTATGCTGGATAATCTACATCTCTCTCTATATAGACAAGAGTATAAATAGGTTTAATAAACAAGAAAAAAGACAATGTATTAAATGATATTAAACACTAAAAAAAATGTGTTTTAGTTTAAGTAGAGTCATTTAAGAATTGGGCTCATCTTCTCTATGCCTCATTAAAATACAGATTTCATCAAATATATTATTACATAAGAAACAAAATGGTTACCATAGTAGCATCTAAATAATCCATCTTCTCTTTCAGCTCAGGTGACTTGATATTTGCAAATGGAAGACCGACCATCAGTATACACCTGAAAACAGAAAATATTAATAAGGATAATACATAAATAAATTCACATTTTTATACAGATTTTCAGGGAAAAAAATTATTAGTACTTATTTACCCATTAATGAATGTTTATGAGTGCAATGGGAAAAATATTTTCATGAGTTGAAAGGTTTAACTGTTCCATTCAATGAGGCGGAGTCGAGTTGAATGCAGTCAAATGAAAATTCAATTGCGCGAATAAAAAACATTCAGTATTTGTTTTATAACACACTTAAAATAGATTTTCGTCATTGACATTTTATGAAAAAAATCTACCTTATTTCTGAATGATATTTGATATTTTATGAAAACATCTACCCTTTTTCAAAATGGAACAGTGCAGCATCTTTTTAACCAACCAAAAGATTGTATTAGGTTGAAGTCATGCAATGGAGCAAAATGGACTGAACGTTAATGTACAGATGGAAATATAAATGCATGGTGGAACTTAATTTCCATGATGAGTAACGAAATGGGATAAATATGGATTTCACATGATACGTAATCCACCAATCAAATAACAAAGGTATATTTAGATGTGCTACAATTATCATTATTATGATAATGAAATTTATCATGTTTAACCACAGTATAAATAAATACTGACCTTCCGAGATCATTGGAGAAATTAATCCCCTCACTCATCTTGCCACCAACAACACAAAATAAAATGGCACCATTCACAGAAAGGGTATTCCCCTCACTGCAAGCTTTCTGCAAATGAATAAAAAGAGCCGGTTTTATTCATTACATTACATGACATGAATGAATGTTACATTATTGTCGCATTATGAGGTTTAAAAAGAGCTTGGACTGATCCAGGGAAGGGGTTGCTGGCGATGTCCAAACACTTAGCGTTGTTGAAGTGCTGTTTTTCCTAAGCAGAAAAATCCAATGCGCAAAAGCATGACTCGATTACTGTAAATCTTTCTGAGCTACATTGCTGAAACTTGTACAAAATGTATCCATAATTAAACAGATGCGAGTTGAGTGGCTGAGCAGTAAGGCAGGGGCGCCGCTAACTACAGCCTTAACATCGGCGCTGGTTCCAGCTGCTCCTCGTCCAGGGTTTGGTTGGTAGAACCAAGTCTTCTCGGATAAGGACTTAAAATGGAGGTCCAGCGTACATATCTGGCCCGTGTGCACTTTAAAGAACCCATTGCATCTTTTGGAAGAGTAGAGTTTACCCCGATGCTATGGTTCATTTCAGCTCCTATCGTGGAATGATGTTAACATGTAGGTACTATAAGCGCCTCTTAACAGCCGCTAAGTAGTCATGGACCACGCCCATACGCAATTCAGCACAATGACACATGTACAAAATCTTGCTTTCTTAAAATTAACTGTACATTTAAATCCAAGTGTTAACAGCAATACAATTTAACCATGCTACCCTTCATCTTCGCCAAAAATTTAATCAAATGTGAACACGGCTTTATAATACGGCAAACTAAAAAAAATGTTTTATAATAATAATATATTATATTTACATAGCGCTTAATGCCAACAAGGCCTCTAAGTGCTTCATATTACCTCAATGCAACTGGAATATTGGTCCAAAACTTGATCCACTTGGCTCGCTTTGCGAGGCTCTCTGAAGATATGCTTGCGGTTCTGTAGTCGGGTGATTACCCCTGATTTCTCCCAGTGATTGTAGACAACCTTTTCATATTCGTAAGATGGAAAGAAACAAACCAGGCCACCGGGTACTACGTTACTGGTGTTCGTTAAGATGCGACCCAATTCATCCATCTGATAGAAGAAAATCCCCCCATAAAAGAAAAGGAAACAGAAAATGAATGAATGACACCTAGGAGGTCAGTGATAAGAACATTAAAAAAACAAAGTCGAGTGACCAAGCCGTAAGGCAGGGGTGCCGCTAGCTACAGCCCTAACATCGGCGCTGGTTCCAGCCGCTCCTCGCCCATGGTTCAGTTAGTAGAACTAAGTGTTCTCGGATAAGGACTTAAAATAGATGCCCAGTGTATACATCTGGCTTGTGTACACTTTTAAAGAACCCATTGCATCTTTTGGAAGAGTAGGGGTTACCCCGATGCTATGGTTTATGTCAGACCCTGTCCTTGTGGAATGATGTGAACATGTAGCTACTAATGAAGAGCCTTTTTACGGCTGCTAGGTAGTCAAGGACTACGCCCATACGCAATTCAGCACAATGAAAGTTATGTGTTATTCTCCTACCTTTATCTTTCCCTATATAAATAGTACAGTTAATATTATCCATTTATGAATGGAAAAAAGTACAACATCTTATTTGTATGTATAATACATTCTTGCTCCAACAGCAACGCACTAGCCAAGTTAGAAATAACGTTCTTATGCACAACTAAAACAGCAATTGAATGGACTTTCCGGAGTGTCAACCAAAAATTAACAACTAGCCAATCAGAATACGGCCAGGAATATGCGCGTACTAACAAGCACGCGTGTCGTACCACAGTCATTGTTAGGGGGATCTTAACAACAATATCCAAGGGGTAGGGGTTAGCGGAAAGGACTAAAACAATAATAATAATTACTGTATAATTTATTATGTAATAATAATTAATTAATGCACATTGTGTGTATGATCTTACCATCCTTGGTGAGTCACGAGACTGGAACGTGAAGTCCATCTGAAGACCGCTGGGTCCGTGAGCCATCGCAATGGCCAAGAGGTTCTCAGGTGGGATCACATGACCTAAATATAAGAGATAAGAGAACTGTGGGGTTGTTTCAATTTTTTAGAAAAAATTCATAGTAGTTTTTTTGAAGGAATGAACCCACCACACTAGGGATTCAAAGCAGACCACAGAGTTGCAACCATCAGGTTGCAACCAACGACCTGCAAAAATAAGGCAGCATTTACCAGGCAGAAATTCCTTTCTATGTCGTTCACTTACCACAGGAAAATTCAAGTATTCTGTCGGGCGTCACCCCTGCTGATGAAAAGAGTTGATGTTTAAACTCGTCCACGGGTTGCATGGTTCCGCCGGCTACGATGACCGACCTAGCTTCCTTGACAACCTCGGTGAAGTGGACGGCTGGGTTCAGAAGCAGGAACTTAATGCTGGACTTGCTTAATAACTCTAAACAAGAGAAGAAAAGATGTTTAATAGCTTGGTCAGCAGAAGCTGAAGCCAAATGAAGGGACAATTTGAAATCCTAACATTTTGCCCAGTTTGGAGAAATATTTCTTTTATATCTGAAAGAGCAAATGGTCAATATATCTGTAAAAAGATTATTCTTTTCCATCAAGTAGAAGAAAAGATATTTAATGGCTTGGTTAATAGAAACGGACTTCAGAAGCCAAATACGAGACTAATTTAAAATCCTAACTTTTAGCCTGGGAGGAGAGAGGGGAATAATTCTGTCTTATTCTAAAGAGTAAAAGGTATATGTGAGGTCCCACTACAAAATGAGTCTCATCGTTAGAAAATAAAAAAATGAGTTAATATTACATTTAAGTAGATCACATTATAAGCTTTAATTTGGTCTTTGAATGGCTTCCCTAGGATAAATAGATCCAGAGATGTTAGCATTTAAAGTTTATATGTATGAGAACCAGGTTTTGAAAAAATCGGCCTTAAAGATAAACTAACCAGGTACAAATAATAGAATTACAGAATATGCTAAGAGAATACTGTTTTAGTAAGAAAATTCACTTAAAAAGTACACAATCATAAAATATAAGTATCAAGTTATTCAAAAACATTAAAATCAAAATTTTGTAAAAATGTTGCCTTTGACCTATTTTGGTGAATATCTCAATATTATTTCACCAACGATGCGCCTCATTTCGTGGTGAGACCTCACATATACACCATTTCATCAGGAGTAGTTCAAAACAGCACCCTCAATTTACTTGTGATTGCAGCAGAGTATTCATGAATGATATTCAATTAGCAGTATTCAAAGCCTTTCAAAGACCAAATTAAAGCTTATAATGTGATCTACTAAAATATAATATTAATTTTTTGATTTTCTAACGATGAGACTCATTTTGTAGTGAGACCTCACATATATTAAACAGTGAATACAATTAAGCTCTATAGCAAATTATTGAATCTCTAGTATATGAATATGTTATGTTTACTATGATGCATAACTGAATTTGTGTATGCACATGAAACTCAATAATTAATGTCATGCCTTTCCTTTCCTTATCTTCTTAATAATTAAAGCATAGTTTGTGTCTGGTTTACACCAATAATGTTACATATATATACATTTTTTTTATAATTTTGTCTGGGATTTCACATAAAATTTATTCATTTCTTATCTAGTTCGAGGACTTTACCTTGCTTATGAATAACAACACGGCCATCTTTGTCAGTGTTAGTAAGTGCCAATAGGAATGCTTCGATATGCTGTAAAGGTGATTTCATTGGCTGGTATGTGTGCTCTTGTGTCTCTAATGGGGAAAATGTTATTGATGATAGATGGCATTGTCCAGACTTTCACATGTGACATGTCTAAGTATGGTCATGATGACATCACACCCTGACCATATAAAGGCATATCATAAACATCAGAAATAGCATCAATAAAGCAATAATAGTTTCAATTAGAAAATATTAAATATACAGTGACTATACGTATATTTCTGATTATTGATTATACAGTATCTATACATTTTTATTTGATAACCTTATACTTCTCTTTTAGAACATTATTAAAAATTGAAATGATGACAGTCAGCACTTTTACATGTTGGTTGCCAGCGATGAGTATCCTCGTCCACAGGGCGTCGCTGAGGGTGCTAGGGATTAATATATTCGTCAAAATCGGGGTAACATTCTATCGTTTATTACTTCTTTGTTATACACTGTAGAATCACAGATTTAACGGCTGGTAGTTCAGGGAACGATACACTTAGACAATAATGTACCAACTACGGATGTATGTACGTTGTGTTATCTTGCTGGCAGTACACTCGATTGCACGAGTGGGGGGCGCCCTCTGAACATATACCAACCCATGCAAAATGTGGACGAGAAAACTTGCACTTCGCAAAGACAATAGAATATGCTGTCCCAGCGCCGGTGATGAGTTTACTCATACCATAATATTTTCCTGCCAATTTATTATACACACCATTTTGATGATTTATGACTAGATAGAATTTAAAAATTATTTTTGCACACGTGTACTTGTTTTGGCATACGGGAAGGAACCTAAAAAAGTCTGGCAGTCAATGTGTTAAAGACTAATTTTATAAATTTACTTTCTCTAGCTTTCGTCCAGGCAGTGGAGTTCATCAAGTATGTTGCATTCTGTCATATATCTTTTATTTGAAAAAGTCACAATAAAATCACAATACACCTTGTGGCCAAAAACAGAGATAGTGTGTATATACAAGTGTCAGACAGAAATGAATTTACAAAAGTTACAAAAAAAAATAAATAAAAATGTCAAAAAGGTAAAATATAGAAAAGAATGGATTTCAAATGAGGAGCACTGTCGCAAAAACTGCTTTAATGCTGCTTGTTGTGAATTTAAATAAAGAATGAAACTGGTCTCTTAGATAGCCTATTTGTTTTAGCTTTAAGCTCCGAGATGTGATGAGGATTACTGAAGTTTTTTCCAAAAGATTCAAGTTTGGTGGGTGATAAAATATCATTAAAATGCCTAGATGTGGTATATATTTTGAGAAAATTTGCGACAGTATTCCTCCCTTCTATTGGCGAGAGTGACAAGATTACATCTATTTAAGGCGTCATTATAGTCGTTAAATGATGCGCCAAGTATGGTGCGACATGCCCTTTTTTGGATGTACTCCATCATAGCACTGAGATGGATTGTAAGGCCTGGGTGCCAGACAGCATTGGAGTATTCTAATATGGGTATCACATATCCGCAATGAATCTTTAAAAGCTCATCAACCTCCCAACCAAAACGTTTGTGGGACCTGAGCATAAATAGCTTTTTGTTAACTTTGCTCGCTATAGGGTTGATATGGTGATTCCATTTAAGCTGGTTGTCTATCCAAACCCCTAGAACCTTTGCTTTATCAACACATTCAATGGGGGAACCACCACTTTACAGGTCAATAACTGGTTTTGTTTTACTAAAGTAAACAGGTAAGGAAAAACACTTGGAGGGAATTTTTGATTACACCAATCAGATAGTTGGTCAAGGTCGTCTTGTAAATGAATTGGAGATGTATTCTCTTTGTCTTACAAAAGCTTAAGTCATTAACATATTTTAAGCAGTTTTTTGTAGATTGACATGCTGCATTATTCATCATAATTGTTCTTAAGCAAACTAACATAGCTACACCTTTTAAAAAATGAGTATAATAAGGGTACCTTCTGTGGCCATTTCATCTTTCTTTGTCGGCTTTGAATTCTTCTGACTGATCTCTTTTAAGAATTTGGTCATGGCCGACGTTTTCTCAACAGCTGGTTCGACCGATTCCACAGTTGGTTGGTATTTCTCAACGTATCCATTCAACTGTCAGAAGATATTGCATTGTATTAAAATACATTACATTAAAAACTGTAAGTACACAAGGCAGCCAGATTTCAATTTAGGAACACAATGGAGATAAGTTCTAAATTTTTGTGATATCCTCAGAATTATGTTGTTGTATTGCATGAGTTCCAAATAAAGTCAATCAATCAATCAATCATGTTTATGAAACTGTTACACTTTTATTTAAGTGTTTAGATGGGGTTGAGATACACTGTATGTAATAAAATATTTAAAACCATAACACTAAAAAAAAAAATGTAATAAGATAGTCACTAAGGAACACTAATTTCTCTTTACGGCAGAGAAAATTTTTTCCATTTACATTGCACCAAAATCTATGAAAGGACAATTTCATTAAGGATCCGCATTTTCTTCTGCTTAACAGAGTTACCATTGTATATTTCAATTTAAAAATTCAGAAAAATAAAACTTGTTGACAGTCTTGAATAAGCGCCGAGCAAATAAGCACTGCACTAAAAGCCTACGAAAATATTATAAACGCTGCAGTGTTTATTCGAGCATTTACGGTGTTGTACAGAAGACATACAAATAAAAGTTTTAAATCTGTGTATTACCTTCTTTGATATCATACTTTTCTCACAGTATTTTTGAATCTGTATATGAAGAAAAAAACAAACAGTTTAGTGCATCTATTCGAAAATAGAAAATCATCTAGGCTTTCGTGGGCTATCCTTGGTGTTTACACCTGTCATGAAAACCAGCAATTTTGGTGTCCCTAAAGGCATCTTTGGCATTCCATACTTGTTATTGTAAACTTACTTGGTGCAGATGGGTCGACTAATATGCAAATTGGTTTTGGTACGGGGTTATGTGATGCTAGTGAGGGTTTTGTTTCAGTGTACTGCAGGTAGGCAGCCGGACATGTGTGTGCCGGTAGTATAACCACGGAGGTGGTAAAATTTTAGTCTCAACGGTTGTGGAATCCGTTTGGGAGTTAGCCAAGGCTAACAGTGGCCTTCCTTGGTAATACACTGAAACAATTTACTCCTGGTTAGACGTTGTGACGGTGAGTAAAACTGTACAATTGAATATTGCTATGCTAGGCCTAATTTTTGTGAGTATTGATAATTATATCGGTATAGGTCCATTTATTCATGTATTGTGATATATAAGATGGGCGTTGCTAACCATGTGTTTGTAAATGGGGTACGCTCTGTGGAATTATGGATTGTTTTATTTAAAGGCTTTATGGATAGGCTTGATTATCTAGACCAGTGTTGGTTGAGTATCGAGACGACTGTGGATGCCGTGTTGTGTATCGTCGCTTCATTCAATCCAAGTCTGTTCAAACGTGTATACCAGACGAGCGGAGCTGTATTTGTCTGAGGTCGTTCATGTCAGAGGAAGCGACTTGTGTGAACATATAGACGAGCGGAGCTGTACGCGTCTACCTTTGGGATTATTCAGTGTGGGAAGCGTGTCTGGCCGTTTACTTGCAAGTATACTCATGAGAACCTTTTTCTTATTATGCCATGGCTTTATTTTGTTAAATCCATTCATAGATTACTGGTAGATGAGTTGCGCCTCTTCTACATTGCGAATGGTACCTACGTTGTGTGGGTTAAGTGTTTAATAA